ATAGAGGGCCTTCTTCAGCTTCCACACTCTGCCACTACCATCATCAAACCCCTCTGGCTGCGCCATAAAAATCTCCTCCTCAAGGATGCCGTTGAGGAATGCCGTCACAATGTCCATTTGCTTCACCACCCATCCTTTGATGGCGGCTCCCGCGAATAGGGTTCGCAGCGTCGTCGGCTTCACCACAGGGGCAAACAGCTCCTTGAAGTCCACCTTCTCCTTCTGCTGGTACCCCTTGGCTACAAGCCTGGACTTGTAACGCTCGATCTTGCCGTCGGCATCCGACTTGATTTTGAAGAGCCACTTGGACGTTATCGCCGTACGCCCCTCCGGTAGCTCCACCAATTCAAACGTGTCATTCTCCTCGATGCTCTTCAGCTCACTCTCCATGGCCTTCTTCCACTCCTCAGCATCACTACTCTCCAAAGCCTCCTTGAGAGTTGCTGGTTCTCCTGGCATCTCCACCGGAGAGAAGAACGCGAAGGCACACTCCTCGTAGTCACTCTCCTCGTCGTCTCCGACCATCATTGCCGCTCCGGCCAGGGCTGTCTTGCCTTGCTTTCCAAGTGCATCATAGGTCAGCCTATTAGGGGGTTGAACTCTCCTCTTCCCCCTTCCTTCCTCCTCAGCTGCAGGGACTTGAAGGCCTTGGCGTTGCTGGGGTGTGGCTCGATTCCGTGGAGCACTCGTGGTACGGGAAGGGAGTGACGGTGCACGCTCGCTCACTTGCTGCACCTCCTCCTCTTCTTCCTCTGCATCAGTGGCCTCCTCTCCCCCATGCACAAGGGAGGATTGCCTCGTGGTTGTGCTGCCGCTGCTCAGCTCCACAGGCAGCTCCACATGCTCCAAACCGGAACTCTTCACCTCCCCAAACCGCACGCCTATCTTCGCCTCATTCTCCGCCTTCCAATCCTTGTACATGAAGTTCTCCATGAACTTGCAGTCCCTGCTCACCAAGAACTTCTTGGTGAATGGGTCCCAAAGAAGCCATCCCTTGCTGTTTTGAGCCATGCCCAAGTGCACGGCCCACACCGCCTTGGCACCAAGCTTGTTGTGCCGAAGATGCTTAGGCACAAGCGCCATGCACATGCACCCGAACACCCGAAGCATATCCACCTTTGGCTTCCTTCCTAGCCACTCCACATAGGGCACCCATTTGTCTGCTCCCACATGAGTCAAGGCTCTGTTCTTGGCCACACATGCGCTCCGCACCGCATCAGGCCAGAAATAGTCGGGTAGCCCGGCTTCAATGAGCAACCCGCGTGCCGCCTCCGTGATTGTGCGGTTCGCTCGCTCAGCGATGCCGTTCATTGCAGGGGAGTATGGCATGGTGAGGGAGTGCCGAATACCATTCTTCTTCAGCCACAACCCAAACTCCTTGCTCAGGAACTCTCCCCCTCGATCGGTGCGGATTGACTTGACTAGACGGTCTTGTTGCCGCTCCACCATCGGGAACCAATCCGCCTTCAACGTTTCAGCCACGTCGCTCTTCTTGGCCAGCACGTACACCCAAGTCATACGGGTGTAGACGTCCACAATAGTGAGGAAGTACTCAGCTCCAGCAGCTCCAAGCTTCAGGGGGGCCCACCACGTCCATCACCACCTCATCAAGTGGTGCCTTAGCCGTTGCCTCCGAACTAGAGAATGGGAAACGGGTGAACTTGGCTTGCATGCACGTCGGGCAGCCAAGTACCTCATCGGGCTCCCCCTTCACACGTATGCCAGCAACCATCTCATTCTTCACTAGCTGCTGCAAGATGGGCAGGGCCACATGCCCCATGCGCCGATGCAAGGTGAGCCAATCACACTCCCCCGTAGCCGAAGTTGGATTGGAGAATGCCGCGCTCGCAATAGCGCCCCACATACTCTCTCCGTAGTCCTCCTCCGCTGTTGCCTCGGGGTTCTCCTCACCCTTTTGCTGCTCCTTGGTTGCTGCACCACTCTCCTTAGGTTCACTGAACTTGCTGGTCCCTCCAAGATTGCACTTCTTGGACTCCTTCTCCTTAGCGCGACCGTCCGCGCAATCGCCGCTACCAATCGCTCCACCTTTAGTGCTGACGCTTGCTGCCACTTGCCTCTCCTTAGGCATTGGGACCACAGGGATCTGCCACATCTCGTTGTAGACATCTCTGTCCTCATGAAGGTCCCAAAGAATCCGATCGCCAAGCTTTGCGGTGTAGGTCTTGGCTCCCTTCGAGTTAGTGTCCATGCCGGCCTTTGCCAACCGCCGCACGGAAATCAGGTTCGCAGCAAGGCTGGGCACCCAAAGCACGTTCTTGAGGCCCACCATCTTCCCATCAGCACCCTTGAACATGGCCTTCCCCATGCCTTTCACCTCTGCTCGCTGCCCCAAAGCCGATGTGACATGCTTCACCGGTGACGGCTCGAGTTCGGTGAGCAAGTCCGGGCGAGGTGTCATGCTATAGGTAGCGCCACTATCAATCACCCAATAGTCCAGGGGGTGTAGGGTCACCTTCCCCACAGCTGCTGGCTCCTCAAAGCCTTCATCCTTCTCTGGACCAGCCGGTACTTGCGTCGACACGAAGTAGAATAGACCCGGGTATCGATCGTCGCTCGGGTCCTTGTCGTTGTCTCCGCTCTTCATGTTTGCAGCTCCGCCACCGCGACCGCCACGGCCTCCACGGCCTCGTCCTCTCCCTCCTCCTGCTCCTCTACCCTCTTGGCCTTGAGCAGGGGTCCAACCATCAGGGAGTTTGTAGCAGTCGCGCCACATGTGTCCGCTCTTGTGGCAATAGTGACACTCGCCGTCGAATCGGCCGCGACCGCGTCCGTAGCTCTTGTCGTCGCTGCCGTAACCGCCACTCCTGCGGCCTCCGCCGAAGTTGCTGCCACCAAACCTTCCTCCCCCTCGTCCTCTGCCTCTTCCTCGACCATATCCACGGCCGATGCTCGCTGCCCCAGCGCCATCCGCACTCGCCAACTCACGGCGGCGGAAATCCTCTTGAAGGATAGCTCGCTTCACGTCTTCAAGCGAGAGGCGGGGCAAGTCGCGATTAAGGTTGATGATGAGCGAGGACCATGACTCCGGGAGTAGGGCCAGCAACTTGGTCTTCTTTTGGAGCTCACTATAGTTCAAATCAGCTCCCTCAAGCCGCGTCAACAAGTCGAAGAATTTCTGCACCCCTTCTTCAACCGCTTCATCCTCTTCAATTCGTAACGTCGCCATTTGCCGTTCCAACACCACAGCTACCGCCGCTGTTGCAGGAGCGTGTACACCCTTGAGAGCAGCCCATGCTTTTGGTCCCTTCTCTGGTTCACGCTGGAAAGGCTTGATGTGACGGATTTGGCTGCTCCCCAACGCTTGCCCAAGTAGGAGGTAGCCTTGTGCGCTCTTCCGCACCCACGGGCTCTTCTCCGGGTCGTTCTCGGGACGCTTCTCCGTTCCTTCCATCACCTCCAGCAGGTCATAGTGGTCAAATATGTTCTCCATTCTGAAGGACCACTCAGCAAAGTTGTCACCATTGAACTTGTCAAGGCCAAACACTCTAGGCTCATCCCTAGATGGGCCAACACTTGGTTGCACGGGCGCCATGGCTGAGTCACGGGGTTGGCCTTGAGCTTGGGCTTCTCCTCTGCCACCAGCACCTCTGCCACCCCTTTCCTCAGGTCCAGCCATTGTCGAAACTGCTCCAAGGGGCTCTGATACCACTTGTTATAGTCACAGTAGGCTCCAATGTGCCTAAAACGAAAGATAGAGTGCACAGTCGGATTTCTGCACAGCGGCTTCAAACGTTCATAGCGTTCTGGTGACAGCTTCAAATGACTTGATTCAACTTGGATCTGGAGCGTCTTATTGTCGCCTACAATAGGCAATTTAGATCGCACGATTTGACCAAGTATTGACGACACAGTGTTGGTTTGAACGAACGGCACTATGGCAGCCACTCTAGTCTTAGAACACAAAATAGGAAGAGATCTGAAGAGTTACGAGTTGGGAATGACTCCCAGCTCCTACAAACCCCAAGAGCCGAGGTACAGTGATGTGGAACAGTGCCACACTGTCCCCAACCACGAAGGGTCTCGAAACTACCCTTCACTAGGGCCTACACCAAGTGAAATGTTACACTACACAAAGTAATGTAACTATCTTCAATATCTTGAGGTGTACCCTTTTGGCGAGCTTTGAAATCACTTGAGGCTTGACACCAAGGCTCGGGCTCTTCATCACAAACTCATCCTTGAGTTCTTGATGGGTCTGCTGCACACACCTGCGACACACCGAACGTTCGACACAGGACAAAATAGAAACCGCGCACGACAAAATAGAAACCGCGCGCGAGACACAAACGACCGCGTAACACGCGTCTAGCGATAACTCGCTATTGACCCGACACATACACTCGACATCATGACTCAACATTCACACACAATTATAAGCATGAAATATATATTATCCCATGCCCTCATACCATTCCATACACACACACACATGCACGCACATGGACAACAAGCCGAGTGCAAACCATAGGGTTGCACCAACAGACGTCAACCACGCCCCTGCACCTCCGCCCTGAAGGGAAGTCAAACGGGCAAGGTGCAAGGGAGAGGCGTGACGGGCACGCACGGCCTCCAAGGCATGCGCCTCCAGAAGACGGCTCGCTCCTGCAAAAAGGGAATCGGGGGAGGCAGAAGCGCAAGAGGGCCAGGGGGGAAGGAGAGAGAGAACGTCGGGTGGGAGACCCTCTAGCGCCGTCTGCAGAGCCCGGTCGATCTGCTCTGGCTCACCTGAAGTGAAGCTCTGCCGAAACACCTCGCCACACGCAGGGAGAGAACAGAGAATGGGAGCACACTGCACCCAGGAGCACACGAAACTCACCGGGGCGATGCGTGCCATGCGACGAATGCCAAAACCCCCGAGACGGATGGGGAGGAAGATCTGGTCTAGGGCGGCCTCTCGGACGTCCTCGCGACAAGCCCAGGTCCCTGAAGCTAAAAGCTGCTGAAATGTCTCTCCCAGGCGTGCGTCCCACCGTGTAAAACTAGAGATCACTGCGGGCGAAGGAGGGACGGTCCTCGACAGGTACTGCGGACGAGTGCTGACACACGCCGACAGAAGGCGGGCAGCTGTCTGGGGCTGGCGCAACCTCGGAAGCCAAGGTAGCACCCGCCCCATCCTCTCGAGACGATCCGGGAGACTCTGCTCCACGAACGAAACGGTGCCTATCGGTACGCCTGTCACGGTGAGCCCTCGGCGTGCGACCTCGATCCCCTAGGCCCGTGAAGGCCTCCAGATCCCTGGACAGAAAGGACTCTGTCTGGTAGACGAGGCACTTGTGCGGCTGGGCTGCAAGGCCCATCTCGCCCAAGCGCCTCACGATCTCGGCAAAGTGGTGCAGCACCCTGTCTGGGGGACCTAGCACGTACGTGTCATCGGCGTACGACCAGAGCTGGACATCCCCCTCCACCAGAACCGGCTCCAAAGCAAGACGCTGTGTCAGAGCGTACAAGAAGGGGCTGAGAGGGTCTCCCTGGCGAGTGCCCCGCTCCGAGTGCATCGTGACCACTCCCGTGCCTGACCTGTAGTGGAGATCCGAGGGCGTCCCGTAGAGAGGCCGATGAAAGGGATCAGCACTGAAACTCCGGGCTGGCCTGCAACGCCTGGAACATCCAGTCTCGGTGGAAGGAGTTAAAGGCATTCGCCACGTCTAGCTGCAGGACCACCCAGTCTGGGTGGTCAGCCAAAGCACGGCGGACGCCTCTAACTACGACCTCTGTCCCGCACGTAACCCCCACCCCAAACTGCTGTGACGCCAAGAAGACCCTCGCCATCTGGTCACGTAGCTGGAGACAGACTGCACGAGAAAGAATGCGGACCAAAACCTCGCCGATGGCAATCGGCCGAACATCCATGTTCGACTTCGCCAGAGCCACAAGGGTGGAAGACGCTAGCAAGGAGCGCGTAGCTGGAGCGCAACGGCCTCGGAGCCACTGCTGGTACACGGCCAGGAGGGAAATGGAGACTCTGAGGGAAAGCTAGGAAAGTGTCTCGCAGGTGCTCAGCGACCCAACCGGACGGTCCTCCCGAAGAGCCCCGCGGAGCTGTGAAAATCGCGCGGCGGTAAGTGATCCACCGAGAGCACGAGAGGGGGACCCCTGGAAGCCAGACTGCCAAGCTGGGGTCGGCCTCTCCGCGTTGGGGTGCTTCGACTGCAGGCGCTGTATCGTCCCCTGTGTATCTGGGGCTGCCTCCGCGGACTCGAGAGCCGCGCACGCCCGTGAGGTCTCATTGCACGCTGCCAGACGAAGACAACGTGCAATGCGGCGCTCATCTGCTGTAGAGGGATCGGTGGCGGTGCGTGACCGGTGACCTGTGCGCCGAGGAAGGGGTGTGCGACGGCCTAGTGCATCTGAGACTAGCTCAGCCCACTCACCTCGACCAAAGCGGGAGATGCGCGTTGCAATGGCAGCCGTGTGCGAGCGGTCGGGTGGCGTCGCTGGAACAAGGAAAAGAGTCGGCGCTGCAGCGAGGAGGAAGGTAGGGCCAGCAGCCTCCGGGTCCTGGGCAATGCGGACTAGGATCGCACTGAGGACGTCGAGATATCCTCCGCGGACCCTCTCCGGGACCACGTCGGAGAGGGCGTGCATGGATACGCTCGGGCGAGAAGTACTCTGTCCAGTCCACCGAGTCGAGCGTCTGCCACTGTGCGTCGGTGAACTGTATCCCGGTCGCACGGGGCTGTGAGAGGGAAGGGATGATCGAGGCGGTTGTCCTGGGCAGCCTGCGCCCTGCGAGCCGCAGTCCGCAGGATGGCAGAAGGGAATGTGGTGCTGGAGCGCGCGTCGGTTCGCGAGAGAGCTCCTGCAGGTGGGGCAACTCACGACCTGGTCGGGTGATGTCGCCGTGTCGGCGGGGTCAATCGGGGCCGTGGCGTCGGAACTGGCTGTAGAGGGGACCCCGTGGGCGGCCTGAGCTCCGAGAGGATCGCCTGGGATGAGGGGAGGAGACGACTCACCAGCCCCGTGCATGGGGGGTGTCAGCGAAGATAGAGGTGGTGTCGCACAGGATAGGGCCGGGCCTCGTACCGGTACCGGTGTCGAAGCTGGGGAGGGGGGACGTGGAGGTGAGCCTGAAGTGTGTGCCGTGGTGTGCTCCTGCCCCTCGGCGGGGTGCGGTTCAAGTGACAGGCTCTGCTACCCCAGGCGGAGGGGTCTCGGTAGGGGCGGATGCCTCATCCTACTGCTGGTGACCTCCTGCGCCACGGGGTGAACGGGGGGAGGCGCCACTCCCATCTAGGTGCGCGTGACACGGCCTCAGAACCTGGTCCGTCTCCATTGGGGTCGGGAGGAGTGACGCGCCTGGCTGAGTGGCGGTGGGGGATTAAAAGAAGGGGACAGACCGGGTGACCTCCGCATACGTCCGGGTCCGGTCCTGTGGCGACTGGAAGGGTGGGGGCAGCCCGGAGAGCTGCTCGGGCGGTGTATCGCCAGCAAATCTGAAATGCCAGCCCCACCTCCTCTGGGGTCTCGAAGACCTGCCTGCCTGTAGGTGAGAGTAGGAGGGCTGGCAGGGTAGAGGGTGGGGTGGGGCTTGCTGGCTGAGCGGAGCTCGGGTGTGGACCCTGCCCTTAGAAGGCCCCCTTGGCCCTCCCCAATCACCATGGGTTGCGGTAGGGGGTCGTCGACATGGAAGGGGTTGGGGTATGGATGGGAGGGGAGTCGGTGGCGTCTTCCATGGGCGCTATCCCTCAAACCCGACGGCCTCCATCCCAGTAGCGATCGCGGCCGCCGCCACCTGGGAGGGGGACACAGCACGGAGAGGGGGCCAGAATGGCGGGGTGATTGGGCTGGTCCGCTCCCCATGGCCCTGTGGAGGTGCAGGAGCGGGGCGGGAGTGTAGGTTTGGGGTCGGGCTGTAGAGGTAGGGCCTGGTAAGGTGTTCAACGGGATGTGGGGTGGGGAGGGGCTCTGGTGGGGGAGGGAGGGAGGGGGGAGTACGTGGGCTGACCCTCTGCCTCCTCTGCCCCTATTCTTCCGCCGTGCGGGCCAACCTGGTTGTCCGCGCCGTTTGTGAAGGAAGGGGGGGCTGTGGGGCCAAAGGGGTGGGTGGAGGGAGGATGGTGGTTCGCCAGCGGGGGGGCTCTAAGTGCATCCCCTCTCCTCGAAACATCCCCCTCCGTGGGAACAGATCGGGCGGGCTGTGTGTAGGGGTGATGGCTGCCCAACGGGGCCACTCGTGGGGAATCCGGCCGGGAGGGGGGGTTGGAGGTGGGGGTCGAGGGGCTGGGCCAGTGTGGAGGTTAGAGCGAGGTACAAGCGGTGGGGGGGAGAGATTTGTGTGGGCTCTGTGGTGGCCTCTCCTGTGGGCCCCTCTACCCGGGTGCCGCCGCTCCCATGAGCCTGGGGCGCAAGCCCTTGTGGGTGGGTCTCGGCTGCCTGGGGGGGGTGGTGTGGGGGGGGCAGCCTGTTGGGTGGGCGTGTTGGGGCTGTGCGGCGACTCGGGTGGTTTGGGTGCCTGTAGCGTGTGGGAGAGGGATTTGGCCGCAGAGATGCTTCAACCTCCGAGATGTGTGTACTACCGGGTGGGGGGGGCCTGGTGGAGGGGGGGGTAGTGGGCCGGTAGGGGGTGGCTGGGTGTTGGTAGGAGTCGGGGAGCATGGCTCCTCTAGGAAGGCCAGAGCCCTGGCTGCTCCACGTGGTGCTCTAAGGAGCCCCTGAGGGTGGGGGCAGAGGTGTGCTGCCCTTGGGGGTGAGGGAAGGAGTGAGGGAAGGGGCGGGGAGGGGTGAGAGGTGAGAGAAGGGGTGCCCTCGGGTGACTCTGCTCTTGTCGCACCCGCGTGCTCTCCCGGTGGACCGCCTGCAACCGTGGGGTCAGGGGTTGGGGACGGAGAGGGGGGCTGGCCATGGAGCAACGTGGGGGTCGGGGAGCACGGCTCCGCCAAGAAGGCCAGGGCCTTGGCTGCCCCCCTGGATACTACCGGGACCTGAGGGTGGGGGTGGGGAAGTCGTGCTCCTGGGGGTGGGTGGGCTGGAGGACGGGAGGTGAGGATTGGGCTCCCTCGTGCGGCTCTGTCCTCAAGGTCTCCCCCAGCCCCTCCATCGGTCCTTCTGCTAGCATGGGGACGGGCATGGGGGGTAGAGGGGGAACCTCGACGTGAGGCTGCAGGGGGGCCGGGTCGGCCTCACCGTCAGGCGTGAGGTATTGGGCCAGTGGCCCGTCAATGTGCATCACATCCTCTCCCTCATCCTCCTCTATCGCTATCACATCCCCCTCTTCAGTGCCCACCCCGGTCGGGACCACACTCACCTCTCCTTCCCCTGTTGCCCCTATGTCCTCCGAGCCCACCCCGCCTGCTGCCGCTTTACTGCTAGCCCCTTTTGCAGTCTCTGCCGGCCCTGCTGTGTGTTTCCCCGCGTTTGCTGCGGCCCCTGCCGCCCCTACTGGCCGTGCTATGGCCCTCCCTGCTGCTCCAGCTACAGCCTCACCTTCTACCTTTGAGGCCACTGTTGTCCCTTCTCCCACTCTAGCCCCTGCCGTACCCTCTTGCTACAGCCGGGGCAGCACTCTCCCTCGCACCAGTCCCCGTTACCCCCTTCCCCGCTGCACCCGTAGCACCTCCCCCTGTACCGGCCCCCACTGTGGCCTCTGTCGCTCCTGCTGCAGTCCTTGCAGCCTCGACTGCTGCAGTCTGTAAAACCTCGCCTGCCGTAGTCTGCTCAGCCTCACCAGCCGCTATCCCTGCAGCCTTGCCTGCCGCGGTCCCTGCAGCCTCACGTGCTGCAGTCCCTGCAGCCTCACCTGCTGCAGTCCCCGCGGCCTCACCTGCTGCAGTCTGTGCAGCCTCCCCTGCTAGAATCTGCTCAACCTCACATGCTGCGGCCTCTGCAGCCTCACCTGCTGCGGCTATTTCAGCCTCACCTGCTGCGCTCCCTGCGGCCTCACCTGCCCTGGTCCCGCCTGCAGCCTCATCCGCTGTGGTCCCTGCAGCCTCACCTGCTGCAGTCCCTGCAGCCTCACCTGTTGCAGTCCCTGCGACCTCACCAGCTGTAGACTGTGCAGCCTCACCTGCTAGAGTCTGCCCAACCTTACATGGTGCAGCCCTCGCAGCTCACCTGCTCCGCGTCCGCCGCAGCCTCACCTGCTGCGGCCCCTGCAGCCCCGCCTGCTGCGCTCCCTGCAGCCTGCCTGCTGCCGCTCCCTGCAGCCTCACCTGCTGCGCTCCCTGCGGGCCTCACCTGCTGCGCTCTCTGCAGCCCTCACCTGCTGCGCTCCCTACAGCCTCACCTGCTGCGCTCCCTGCAGCCTCACCTACTGCGCTCCCTGCGGCTTCACCTGCCATGGTCCCTCCTGCAGCCTCACCCGTTGTGATCCCTGCAGGCCACACCTGCTGTGGTCTGTGCGGCCTCTTGCCTGGTGGTTGCGGTCCCTATAGCCTCCTCTGCTGCGGTTCCCCCAGCCGACACAGCAGCAGTTCCCGTGGCCCCTACTCCTGCAAAACCTTTTCTCCATGGCCTCTGCCCTTTGCCTGGCCAGAGTCACGGTCCCTGCCGCCCCTTCCTGTGCAGCCTCTGCCGCCCTTTCCGTGCAGCCGCTGCTGCCCCTTCCCTTGCAGCCTCTGCTGCCCTTTCCTCTGCAACCTCTGCTGCCCCTTCCCCACAAAACCTCCATTGCCCACTTCCCGTGCAGCCTCATGCCCCCATCCTCTGCAGCCTCTGCTGCTCCTTCGCACACACATTCACTTACCCCTTCCCGTGGCAGTGTTAGCTGCAAGTCCCCCCCCCCCTCTGCCCACCTCCCGCTTCTATGTGCTTGGGGGTGCTAGTAGGGATTAAGTGTTTTCACCAGTAATCTGGTTTGCGAATGGGAGGTAGCGAATAAGTTGGGGATCTCTCCACTTGGCATGCATGGGTACCGTACCCGCTGTCACCTGAAGGGGGGGTAGGCTGGGATGGGGCCGCGGGGGTAGGGCGCAGTTTTGAGCGTGCTGGCTCCTCCTTGTGTATTTCCTCCAGTGGGGCTTGGCGTTCCTCTGTTCCATCCTCTTCAAGGGTACGCTTTTGGCCCTAGGGTCAGATTGTGTGAGTGTTTTCGCTTGGTCAGGTGTGTGGTGTTTCTTCCTGACTGTTGAAGTGGGGGGATGGGAGAGTAGGGGTGTGGCTCGGCTGCGGGACCTCCCAGATCGCCGAGGGGCTCCGGGTCTGCCTTTTCTCCACTCGCGGGGTGCTGGGGCATTGACAGAGGCAGCATGCCTGGCGGTGGCGGTGTGATTGCTGGAGTTGGCTCAAGAGGGCGTCAAAGGGGAAGGAACTCCCTGGCAGAGGCCGGGG